TTGTCAACTTTACTAAAGGAACACTGTGTTCACACACACACACACACACACACACACACACACACCACACACAGCACACCACACACACACACACACACACACACACACACACACACACACACACACACACACACACACACACACACACACACACACACACACACACACACGCACACACACGCACACACACTCTCTCTCTCTCTCTCTCTCTCTCTCTCTCTCTGTGTGTGTGCGTGTGCGTGTGCGTGTGCGTGCGTGTGCGTGTGCGTGTGCGTGTGCGTGTGCGTGTGCGTGTGCGTGTGCGTGTGTGTTTACATTGATGCCCTGTTTTAATGCTATGATGACGGACTTGAATAGCCACGAACGCATCGCAAAAAGTCAAAACACACGTCCATGTCTACTTATCTGTGGGCGTCGTCTGGTACTGCACTGGTCGGGTGCGGGGGGGGGGGGGGGCCAAAGTCTAGTATAAAATATGGCAGCAACGGCGCACATTTCACGACTGGCCATAGGGTTCCCACGTTAAAATGACCATCTTCAGGCTCACGGCGTTCTAAATCTTGAACATATATATGCATAAACAGAGCATAGAAATGAAGCTTGAACAATTCTCTTTCGATTTCCAAGATAAAAAGTGCGCGCCGTCGCACTCATTTTCGAGCTATCAGCCAAAGCGCAGACCCATGCACGCGCCACGCTGTCCAGGCGTGGGATCGAATCCCGATGCCACCAACTCTTTTCAGCAGAGTTGAGATGGAACACGGAGTGAATACGGCCACTGACTGGCGGTAGAACTATTTAGTGCAACAATATTCTGATTATATATAAACATTTTTGACATAACATGACCTTTTCTAAACAGTGCAGGCAGATAACTCCTTTGGTGAAATGTCTTATCGGGTACGTGCACAATATTGCATCATACCAAACATTTCCATTACATTATAGTGCCTTTCATGTCTCAATAAACACATCTAATGCAATCACACAGCTGTGCTGAGCTCACATAATTACTGGTTGGCCCATTTCATGGGTGGTAAGGCCACTGTAGACAAAGGCTATCAATGCTTATGTGGAATATTCAAATGCCAATCAGACAACAATCTCAATATTCATATATTAAAAAATAGCAAGACCCTTCGCTCCAACGTAAATATACCTGAACACGCCTTTGCCAATCACTTCGCATGCAGTATTCCACAAGCATTCAACAGCCGGTAGCCTAAGCCTCAACATTCATAACTGGCAAGGTGTGCAGTAACTGAATCATTACATCATCAGTTTTGCTGCAGAATGTTTAAATGAGTCATTATATGCAAACTGAGACATAATGTGACTTGGCAAGAACAACATACATCTGATTAGCCCAGAGGCATCTGAAATTACTTGAACACAATCTGATCCCCCAACCACCACTCCCAATGGTGCACCACAATTCAAGTATCTTACGACTGAGAAATATGATTACACTTAATTGCCACAAATAAACCAAAGATGCCGCTAGCACAGCACTGCCAACTTTTGGTACAACATCCTAAAACTGGTGTTAATCCCGCTTCTGGTATACTTATAGTGTGTGTCGATACCTACTAGTCAAAACTTTGGAGTACCCGGTGTTGTATGGCCCTGGGTCGCGTGTTATTCATACGAGGACAGGTCGACTTTCTTGTCTTAAACACCACAGGTGTCTGGCGTGGCATAGATCAAACAAGCAGACACGTGACTGTGGCGAGCCGTAAGTCGTCTGCCCACAGCGAGTGGTGCTGATTAGTGAACACAGCGAGCGTGGCTAGAATATTAAATACAAAGCGCGTAAAAACGACACAAGCGACACAAAACGGTGGTGCAGATGCTGCATTTACGTACGTGTCAATTTCACGCCCCAAACCCGCCCGGGTTAGGTGTCAGCGCGTATTCGAGTTTGCTTTCGGAAAACGCGACCTATGTCGCCTCCTGGTCGATTGCTGACGTCGCAGTGTCTGACGGCGTTGGGCTGCCTGGGTGTTTGTGAGATAGCACATGCGCCTGCACATTGCAGTTGGCTTCATGTCGTGATCTGCTCGGATCGCCAAGCTCTAACACCAGTTCTGAAAAACACCCCAACGCCATAAAATCTGCTGTTAATGTGCGAGTGCACATGTGCCATAGTGTGCATTGATTTGTACTTTTTCCGGTACAATTCTCCGTTCCCTTCTGAACACGTGTCGAGGCTTTTTTCGTTACGTCTCGTCGTTGCTGAACTACGATTCTAGTTCCGCCTCGCAATACAGTGGCTTTATATTAAGTTGCAAATGTTGCTTCGCAGCGTTATTCCAACGTCCGTGTTTTGGATACTTCATCTTTTGCGGTCGTCATTTCGGTGACTCGACTTTTTGCTCGTCGAATTACTTTCATGTTGCCTTTCCCAGGTTGCCATTTACCAGGTGCCAAAAAGACATCCTCCAAATGAGCTTTTCGGCTGTTTGTCCAAAAACCGTCAATAACTGGGTTGTCAGTCCAGTTGCACGGACTAACTTTCGAGACTGCCGTTGTTTGGGCAGAGCTGCGCCATGCTGGGTCTTTACTGTATTCTTGGGCAATTAAAAAAGGCTTGACGTGCTCCCATGTTTTCCCCGATTTTCGACCACATTTTTCCAAACTGAAACTGAAAGTGAGTTGTGATTTTTCCAAGTTGGGTGCAAAGGGTAATTTGTGTTGTTGAAATATGTTATGTAATTCAACGTGTGTTCTTGCGTAAGGTCGAATAAGAACAATACCACTGGATCAGTTTTTTATCAGCGTAACATTTCTTAACTAATTCTATTTTATATGCATCTTATGACAACATTTGGCTATTACTTTAAGTGTATGGAGGATATAAGACATAACAAACAGGCTTTGATATTCATTTCCCCAAACCGAACAGTACTCCTTACCAATTACGACACCTCACAAAAAAGCAAAATCTACCGGAATCTACTTGTTTTTAATATGCATGTTATGTTGCCGAATCAAAATATACGTGTTTGTAATATGCATCAGCTGTAAGCACCCTCTTCCCCAAAAAACATCATCGGGCTTAGCCACATCGTCACTGCTGGGGGAAGGCGGTCCTAGGTTTCCGGCTGACACGGAACCAGGTGCTCGGTGTTCGTGACTTCTGGTCAAAATAAGGTCCGGCGTTGTCCCAATAGCCTCCTATCGATACAAAAGTCCCTCTGACTGACATCTCAGGACACGGTGTCGCTGCTTTGACCCATAGGACACTTCGGACCCCTCAGCCTCCATCGGGCCAGGGATCTTTGGTTCCGAGAAGCCTTTCGGACACCTTTGGCCTCTTCATTTGAGCCCCTCGAGCACAGCCTCAGCCGACTCAGGGCCTCAGGGCTGGTCACTTGGTCACTGTTGGTCATTTTGAGCCCCTAATTGTTTCAGGGACCACCAAACCACTTCCAATCGTGGGCCCCAGTCTTGCTTCTGCTCGGGAAGTGAGTCCCAAGTGTTTAAACGGATCCGAAGCCATCTGTTGGTGTTGGCAGCCTCTGGCCGAAATAGAGGCCTGCATTGGGCAAAGGAGCTCTCAATAAATGCAGGAGGCCCTCTGACTAAAATCTGAGGTCACGGCCCTACCGACTGGGATACGTCATGTGACCTAGAACCATTGGCCGTTTAGCGCTCCAATCGGGTCCTTCGTCTTTCCCGAACAGTCCATCCGGCCACTGTTCTCGTCTCTTGAACGTTACTCCTGGCCTTATAGGGCCCTTTGCCAACACAGAGCCCCTTGTTAGGCGCTGTGGGCCCTGGCCGACACAGGACCGCCCCCCCCCCCCCGCACGCTGACTCAGGGGCCCGAACAATGTAAATCGCGGGTCCTAGCCTCATCCCTGCTTGGAAAACAGGCCCTCAGACCGAAACCGACACAGAGAAGACTGTTCAGCGCAGGTGGTGCCTAACCGACATAAAAGTCCGCATCGACCCCTCATGGGGCCCAATGGGCGCAAAAGACCCCCTGACTAGCATTTGTGGGCCCGGCCCACAGGGCTGGGACCACTGATGCGACTTCAAGCAACACTTGCACTTGCCACTGTTGGGTGAAAACATGTGTTGACTTTCATCAGGGTCATTGTTGACTTTCAGAAGCTACCACTCATGGCAGTTAATTGTCCTTTATTCTAATCCAGTCGCTGTCTTTTGAAAAACTTATCAAACATCTGCACACTGGTGTAACATATGAGGTAGATAGCATGGTTAAAAGCATTTGGTACCTACACGATGCTGTTCAGCACAAAATATCCATGATGCTACTATTAATGCTGTTAGGTAAGCATTACATAATACACCAATGTCAACACAATTGTTCTGCATTCATTTGGCTCGGCATTCCCTCTGCTCATATGCATTGGGGGGACTCAGAGGAGCGTTGGAGGGACTCAAACCAGCACTGCGGGGGGGGGGGGGGGCTCACACGCCCTACAATTATATCAGATGACTCCTCTGGACCCACCACCTGCTAATTGGTTGGATCACTGGCAATAATAGTAAACATAGTAAACCTCATTTATTTTTCTCGTGAGCTCACGGAAGCAGCCCGTCACTTCTTTGCAGTTATTTTGGATGGCGAACTCAGCACCGCTTTGCGGGCAACCAGGATACGTCATTTGGTGGCAGGATTCGCCTACGCCTCCCTCCCCACAGAAATGTGACGGTGCAAGTCTGTGTGACTATGCAGTACCAACGCCCTGTGATGCTGTTCACGACATGCCGTACACGTGTGCATCGGCGACATTACTGACTCGCAGATCTCCTTCTGTCTGTACAATGGAACGCTCGCGTAGAACCCCACCGTCATCGGCACAGCTGCTACGTGGAAGGCTGTGGTGCCGCTGTGTAGCTTCTTTCTTTTGTTGTCATACAACCAAAGTACACGACAACCTCAGCAAAACAATGGCTGACAGTGACAAGCGGATTTCTGTCCGGTATTTATACGCGTGCGGCTCCAGCTGCTCTCAGTGTATCAGCGGTCGCAATGGCAGCATTCTTGGTGATCGTTCTTCTGGGCGCGGCCGCGGCCAAGCCGCCGCCGTCTCTGCTGCGAAGACCACCGCCCTCCGTCCACGACGCCAAGTCTCTGGAGCCCGTGCCTTTTGACCATGGGCTAGAAGTTGCACGCACTTCTCTGTCTTGTGGTGACCACGCGCTGGCGGTGGGCACGTACACCATCACATCACCGAACCATCCTTCCAACTACGGAAACAACTACGACTGCGCCTATAACCTGACGCCGGGGTCGGGCGCTGGAAGTCTTTCCATCACTTGTTCCGCGTTCAACATCGAGTCTCACAGCTCCTGTGCGTGGGACTGGCTGCGGGTGAACGGAAACAAGTTTTGTGGTACCCAAGGCCCCTCTGTCTCCGACAGCGCATCACTGACCATTGACTTCCATGCCGACTATTCGGTAGTCAAGACTGGGTACTCCTGCACCATTACGGCCGCGTCCGCGCCCCCCTCGGACTCGTTGAGTTGTGGTGACCACGCGCTGGCGGTGGGCACGTACACCATCACATCACCGAACCATCCTTCCAACTACGGAAACAACTACGACTGCGCCTATAACCTGACGCCGGGGTCGGGCGCTGCAAGTCTTTCCATCACTTGTTCCGCGTTCAACATCGAGTCTCACAGCTCCTGTGCGTGGGACTGGCTGCGGGTGAACGGAAACAAGTTTTGCGGTACCCAAGGCCCCTCTGTCTCCAACAGCGCATCACTGGCCATTGACTTCCATGCCGACTATTCGGTAGTCAAGACTGGATACTCCTGCACCATTACGGCCGCGTCCGGGTCGGGGGCTACGACTCAGGCTCCCTCGGGCAGCTGCAGCTGCGGCGTGGCCAACCGCGCCTCCCGGGTGGTCGGCGGCGTCGAGACCGAGGTCAACGAGTACCCGTGGCAGGCAGGCCTGGTCAGCCCCGGCGGGACCCGCACCTGGTGCGGCGGCAGTCTCATTAACGACCGGTACGTGGTGACGGCGGCCCACTGCACCAGTGGTAGCACGGCGTCGCAGATCCAGGTGCTGCTGGGCGACCATCGAATCAGCGTCGTCGACGGTGAGTCGCGTCACACTGTCAGCCAGATCATCGATCACCCGTCCTACGTGACGCACAGCCAGGGTTATGACATCTCGCTTCTGAAGCTGTCCAGTCCGGTGGCGTTCAACAGCCGGCGGGCGACCGTGTGCCTGCCGACCGCCGGCCAGACGTACGCCGGCGCCACAGCCATCGCCACCGGCTTCGGCCGGCTCGGTGCCTCGCAGCCGCAGGCTACGGAGCTGCAGGAGGTCGAGCTGCCAGTCCGCTCTGAGGCTGAGTGCAGGACCTCGTGGAGCTTCGTCACCGGCACCATGATCTGCGCCGGCGGCCTGCCTGCTGGCGGCAAATCCGTCTGCATGGGCGACAGCGGCGGTCCGCTCGTCACGCTGGAGAACAACAAGTACGCCCTGATCGGCGTCGTCTCGTTCGGCCGGCCGTGCGCCGTGGCGAACACGCCCGACGTCTTCGCCAGGGTGACAGCGGTGCTGTCCTGGATCCAGAGCAGCACGACTGACGCCACCTACTGCAGCTAGAGTACGGCGGTCCGCCCGCCGGCCGGCCAGAGCTGGCGGGCGTCTCTGCAACTGCGCTTGCCTGACGTGCATTTCGTCAAGAATGAACGTAGGCCATAGTTATGGAGTCCTGTCTCGGTTATAGCTGCCTTTCGTTTCACCGTAACATGGAACACTTTTATTTGGCGGATTGATTCACTATTGTAGTTTATTTAATGTCACAAATTGTCTTGAAATAGGTTTGCTTGCTTGCTTCGCTAGCTTGTTGGGGTTCAGACAGTTTGATATAACCTGTATCTATGGCACCTTTCCTGTTGACGTTGGAAATATAAAGCTCAGCTTTATGTTTTGTGATGAGAAGAAGCTTTCGAAGGCCATTTTACGCTACATCCAGCAATGCAACTCGGTTGCCAATCTTCACGCCGACAACTCTGTGGTCTGCTGGACTGAAGGTCATACACCACAAACTACTAAGCCCCCAAAACGGCACAAAAACACTGTACGTGCGTTAACACGCGTTGGGCTGAGGGCAATTTGAACCCTCCCTCCGAAGATTGTTCCGGAACAATTTCCGAACTACGCGGAGTAGCCGCGCCAACTTTTGCATAACCGGAGACAAGTGAATAGCAGATGTTTGGTATCAAAAACTGATATCTTCCTTCTAAGGTCGCTGATCTACGACAGGTCAAAACCAGGATATGGATTCAGTGAAGACAGTTTCTAGGGAATCGCTCAACCTCATACAACAGCGGAATGCTGGACGAAGGCATGTATCTCTGAAATGGCTTCTTACGCAACACAGCAGTTGGATTAACAAATTCGATTTATCTAGGATTAGGTATGAAGGTCAAATCAAGATCAAAACCAGCCTGATTTTGCTGCACACCTTACTGTATACGATAGACTTTCGCGCTCCTTCTGAATTTATTGATAACAGAAACCGCATTATACATCCTCCTTGGAATTTTTAAAGGTCACAATAGGCCGCTGACTTAAGATGACCCAGTTCAACGTTTTGTTTTTAGGAACATACTGCCTGGCGTAATCCTTGACGCTTATTCAAATGCAAAATCCACTCAGTCTTGTATGATCTTGGCCACCATGGCCTTCTAAATGTCAAACAAAGTCACTGACTTAAAATGAGCAACAGCCATATTTTGCTTAGAACAGGTATCTAGGTGCACGGTGCTTACATAAGAGCGTCTGGGAGCACATAAGACACCAATCTGGAGTTTGATTTTGTTCGACCTGATTTGACCCGGTTGTCGTCACCTAACAGCCTTAAATTCTGGCCCAAGTGAGTTCACGCACCTTTCAACAAATCCTGCGAATTCTGTATATCTCCAAGTTCTTGAGGTCTCAGGGGGTCAAACTGACTTCAGAAAACGCAGGCACAATTCACTCAATGAATCAAGGGCTCGGAGTTAACAATTCTTTTTAACGTAATGTTTCAAAGAATGTTTCACACAACCCAAGAACACCGGAAAACTGTGCCAACACGTGCGGTTTACGCAGGCCTTCCGTGCGATGCAGTCCTTAAGCACAGCGCCGATGGGTCGCTACACACAAGTAAGTGCGCCACCCGCATGTTAGAACAGACTGGAGCACAGACTGCTAACACAGCTAACACAGACTGGAGTATACAGCACAGACTGTTGACACCGGTCCACAACGTTCGCACTATCACAGTGCATGGCTCCCTTTGTTCTCACCCGCAAAGAGCTTGGGTTAAATGAAGTGTTTCTAGCCAAAAGTAGAATTTGAGCTTTATCCGCAAGGTGTAGAGGGGTCCAATCTGACGATGTTTTTCATCTTCAACAACTGCATCCCTTCAGCTCACATGATTCAATGATTCAAAGAACATTAGTCAGACCAAGCCCCGATTCGCAGCCTGTGTTGAGACACGCGGTCGGCGAGCAACTAAATTGTGAGCTGGACAAGAGACGGTTGGTAAAAATAAAGACAACCCAGCGGGGCCGGCGCCGCACACATTTTACACATAAACTTCTATTTCGACTTTTGACTGGATACGCTCCATTCGAAAAGCCTCTCTTAGTCTGCACGCAGTGCGCATTTTGTGCGAATGCTGTTCCACCAATGGCATAGGCTCAAGTCTATTCGAGACAGATGGATGAGAACAGCAAACGAAAGCCTTATCTGTGTTGGACAGATAGCATCAAACACAACCACGGCGAAGCTACGCGCCGCGGTGTAGCTACTACGGCCTGCATGCTCTGGGCAGGAAGGGCCACGGTCCTCCGCTCATGACAGGGTTAGGACACACCGCTCGGTTATCCTGGGGGGGGGGGGGGGAGGATGCCGTGACAGAAGATCAGTGACAGAGAGCATTATTTCGCCCGTTTTTTATGTGTGCTATTTTCCTCTGTGTGTGAGCCACAGTTTTGCCTGTGGAATGCTTGTTTTCGTGTTCTTACTCGAAATATGATTTTCAGCTCGGATTGTGTCCTCTAGATTTCAGTGTGAATCCTCCAATCCTGATTGTCTCCGCGAGCTCTGAGTCGTGATTACGTCCATACCCAAGAAAGTTAAAAATTATTTGACATTGCGTAATCTTAATTATGTTTATCGGTGACTTCTATCTATTTTGTATTTTGCAGCTCTCCGAATTGTTTTTGGCCTGTTCCGTTCTGCCTTCATGTCGACGGCATCTGCTCCTTCACGCATGTCACTTCTGTATTTGATACGAATTTATCACATTTACCAATTTTGTGTTTACGCCGGTAGTTCCCTGTGCGCAAAGCAAGAAAACTTGTCTAATTTAGCAGCTTTGCAGCACAATTTGCCAGCAAAAGCGTGTTCATATCCACCGGAAAAGACACGCGGCTGGCACGCACCTCCCTCGACTCCGCGTGATGCTCGAGGCCCGGTCGGCGATGCTGGTAAGCTGGACGCCGATGTTGATTCCGTTCCGTCGCCCGCCAGGATTACAGTGCCCGCCCGCACAGAAAGCCTGCATCCCGATTCAAATTGGAACCCTGCGAAATTAATGTTATTACTGTACGTGTTAATCCTGGATTTCTTAGTTCAGCGTTTTGACTAGACAAGTGACTTTGATGGCCTTGATCGATGAATTCCCGTAGTATTTCCCCAGGGCAGTCAGCACCGATACAATTAAGTCACGTTTCACAACAACCGTGATCGCGCTCATGGTTTTATCAGACATGACAGCATGCGTGCAGCCAGAGCCTCGGTTAGAGGTGGCACAAGCTTGATTAAGAGCCCCTGGTAGTTAAAGCCCCCCCCCCTCCCCACAAAAATCGCTGAATATTGATCATGTGATAATGCGGGCACATTTTTTGTTGATATTTTTCATTTGTTCCTTTTATAACTGGAATGGAAGCCAGAAGCCACCGCGAGATCAATTCTGGATGCATTCGCAATTACATGCAGGCGCTTAACATATGATGAATTATGCGTGAGGCGACTGTATTACAATGGTCCAGTGGACTCTCTATAAACTGATAAAAATAAGAAGCGTTTTCAGAATCCTTATCTGGGCTGTACACTGATATCAAGGACCACGCGAATGTATATCGAAAATGATCAATATTTCGTGTTAACATGGGTCGGCCATGTTAGTCTGGAAATGTCACACAAACAGTCGGAATTGATTAGCGATGCAAATTAATAACGTAGTTTTGAGCGCGCCGATCTTGGTAGCGAAAACCTCGATACCAGGCGTTGCTGTCTCCATAGGCTGTACACCATCGGTCTCGCAGCTAACACTAAGTGGTGGTCAGCGCGTGGACGAAAATGATGACGCATTTGAAAGCAGCATCTTTTAACGCTTTAGGACATCAAACCGCACATTAAGAATGTAGTGCGGGCGAATCTGTCAGCTGTGCGATGTTTAAATTGGTGATGAGAACGGATTGGCCTTCACAGCACCGCGAAGCGGTGCTAGAATCTGGTGGTAGGACTGGAGGACCAGAAGAAGAATCTCTGTTTGACGTGTTGCTGTAACTATTAATCTGTCCACAGAACAGCATCAAAGTTGTAAAACAGATACGCTTAGCCACATCTTTAACGGTATGAGTTAATATTGAAAGACATTCGGGACCATTATTTTACGACGGTCTTTCAGGGGTGAACAAAAGTTTCTTATTTACCAGGTATGATCGGTTACAAAAACGGAGACTTTTGCGGGCCAATTCGAGACAAAATTGCGAAAATGGCAACAAATTACAACATATCAAAACCATATTGCAACAGACCATCCCAGCTAGACGAAGCTTTTAGCTCTGTATTGGTCTGTACTTGCTAACGCCTACGGTAACGCTCGCACCGTGAACATGTGCATGCCAAGTGTTTCGCCCGTCTCGGTGCATGACTTACTTGTCGCTCGCAGTCGACGCTGCGCGCACGTGGGAGGGGGCGCGGGCGCCGCCCGTGTATGGCGCCGGCCTCGGTCGCAGCCGACTCGGAATGGTTGGTTCGGAGATCTACCGCCAGGCGGCCATCACCCGGGCTGTCGGCTGCGGCACTGGGGACGCGACCGGCCGCTAGGTGGCGGGCGCAGTCGTACCGGGCATGCTAGGTGACGCAACCGAGCGCTGCGCATGCGCGAGAAAAAAATCGTCCTATCCTAACGCGAGCACGATGTGAGGCGTCATGAACGGTTTCTTGGGGTACTCCACGCCGTGGCCTCTCTGGGATAGGATCTTGGGGATGGACCAAAGACGGTGGGATTCCGCGGCCATTACGTAGGATTCCTTCATGTGCATCCAAATGTCTGCACTCCGTGTATTGGTTCACATAAAATGTGCGTTCGTAATTGTCTGTCGGATAAAGCAAATTCCAGTGCAAAGGTCAGTGTTTCGGATAGAAAGTATTCGGATCAATTCAAATAATGCTTGCTCAAGTAACGTGCGTAATAAACATGTGCAGTGAGCTTATCTTTTCCCTTCCTGCTGTGCTTTGCTGGGGCTCCTCAGCGGTGAACGTAAAAGAACTGTTCCGGGCCCGCACATCCATACCGTGTGGCAGGCGGAGCAAGCGTGCATTAATCTGAACCGCGATGCATTGATACACGCTGGTGCACGATGGTGACGGTACACGATGATGACCAATTGGTGCAATGTGATATTTCGCGGTAACGGCTGGCGCGACGCGCTGGACGACGGCACGAGAACATAACATGTGGAGTACATGTCATGCACATGTCGAAACACTGACGTCTCGCTGTATGAGCAAGTTGAACCACGGACAGACAGGCTCATGCCAGTCCAGCAGCGCCGGACAGTCATGGCAGTTGCAGTGGCAAGCGCCGTTAGTTTTTACGAAAACTGCAACCCAACCCATCGTCGCCATCGTTGCTCCCCGA